AAAAGTGCTGTTTCTTTGTATGGTGATGATCTGCTTTTATATATTGAAAGGAATAACGGTAGAGTAATTGATTTTATGAGAAAAATATCCATTTACAAAGAACTGGGATTTGACATAATGGTCTGCGTACCATGACATAAGATGCGATCTCCATACAACTAAAACTATTCCATTTATAAAACTTTAATATAATTTATCTCCTCAGAGTTTCTAACCACCCCAGTCATGTCACCAGCAAATTCAAAATGATATCAAATATAGTTTGTCTAGAGAGTTCGCTACCAGTGATACATTTAACAGTATTTAAGCGAAGTAAATAGTCTTGAATTGGGATGGCCAAAAAGTCAATTTAAAAGACACAGAATTTCTTTCTTAAGAGTGGAGGAAAATTTTAAAGGAAAAAACAGTGAGGAGGGGGATAATATTTGGTTAGCACCACAAGTTGATTTAGAAGTGAAATCTGAAATCGTAAACATGTTTTTTTTTTTGTTTTTTTTTTCTATATTGAAGAAACACTCCTCAACGTAATATATAAGGATACAGTTAAATATATATAGAAAGTATATAAGAATACAGTCAAAATAAACAGAAAATATATAAGGCTACAGTGAAAACATAGAAAATACGCTATATATAGAAATAATAAGTAAAAAGCTTTACAAAATAAGTTGACCAGATAAAGCGCCAAATCTGTTGTAGTTTAAAAACAAGGTGGCTTCCTTCAGTAATGCATGCAGGGTAAAAAAAATATACGTAAATTTTAAAGTAGTGGTAAGATTCCAGTGCATCCCTGACAAACAGTATATTGGACATACTGAGCGTCCACTTAAATAGCAATTTTATAAAAACTAAAGAAAAACGCCGGCTTTTCTCAATATAAGTGAGAAAAAAAGAAAGAAAAATGTGTGTGTATCAATTATTAAAGGGTTTATAATCGGAAAGAAAAAAGATAGCTATTGAACTGAGTCTGACTGTGACGTGAAAGGAAACTGCCTTCTCCGAACAGCAAAAAATGCTGAATAGATTCTGCATATGGGTTGGTTTTATTTTTGTTCATCACCTGAAAATCCCAAAAATGGAAATCGGCAGTAGTAAGTGAACAGATAATAATTCACTTTTATTTGTAATAATATATTTTTCAGGCTAACAAAACTTAATTGGTAGAAACTGACTAAGCAGAAAAATGTCTTAAATTGCTCGACATTTTCATATTTTGAAAATTGTATTGAGCGCTTTTCATCAAGTTAAACGTGTATTGATAAATATATACACATACATATATACCCAAATATAGGATTGATTTATACGAAATAAATTCCAATAACAAACAAATACTATTTTTATTCTTGGTGAAAAACGGTTGCTGAAAACATTAGGTTTATAATACCCAGAAATTTATACACAGATGCCCTCAAGGACACAGGGCACAGAGGGTAAAGACGTCCATCTTGCACGAGATTCTTGACAAAATCCAAAGAAGAGTCTGTAACGTGATCACGACCAGCCATCTCATCTTCAGTCATATTATCACCGACACAACATGGCTTCCTTCTCTTTTTTCTACAAACGATTTCATAACAACTGCTTTGATGAGCGTTTACCCTGGTGCACCGAATACATAAATGAAATCGTGCTACTAGATTGACAACTAGGTATCACCTTTTTACTCTAGAACGAGCTAGATGCAACCATTTTCACTCTAACACTTTTCTCTCATTTCTCATCTTTGGGACTCCCTCCCGATTTCTTGCATCACGGATAACTATAATTTGCAATAAATTACTGCAACATCAATTTCAAATCTTCAATCTATCTTCTTGAACACCATTTCTTTTTTGTATTTTCCTCAATCGTCCCCATTCTCAGTTTTATCATTCTCTTTCACTCCCACTCTCTATAAGCACGTGCGTTCTGGGATGAAACGGTGAAATATTTTATATAAATATCATCTTTGACGGTGGATATGTTTGTTTCATGTCTGTATGACCACTCATGATCAGACATAATAGACATTCATTGTCTGTTATATTTAATAATAATAATTATATATATATATATATATATATATATATATATATATATATATATATATCATTGTCTGTTATATTTAATAATAATCAACCAACGCCTCAAGGACACACACGGCACAGTGGATAAAGGCGTTGGTTAGATCCAGTGACATGACCCAAATAGAGCGAATAATGTAAATAATGTACATAATACTTCATCTCAGATATATATATATATATATATATATATATATATATATATATATATAGAGAGAGAGAGAGAGAGAGATGTGTGTGTGTCTGTGTGTGTGTGTGTGTCTATGTGCGTGTGTGTGTGTGTCTGTGTGTGTATATAAATGTGTGTGTATATACGTGTGTGGATATATATATATATATATATATATATATATATGTACAAAGCTAAAAGGAAAGTTTAAATTTGTTGACGTAAGAGCCAAGTAAGTGTAAAGCGGTATGTTTGGGACAAGGGTAAAGAGAAGGAAGGACTGGATCAAGATCAAGGCATCAAAAGATGTCGATTGACATCACATTTAAATATTTCTAGATTATAGTCACCAGGGAAGCAAGTAAGAGGAAGGGGGTTCCACTGTCGGGAAGTGCGAGAAAAGAAGTTTTTGCAGTAGACGAGGCGGTTACATTTAACTGTTTCGACAATAAAAGTGTGAGACCGAGATGCCAAAACTAGTAGCTTGCTTAAATTCATGCACTCGAGGCACCAGTGAAAATAGCCCATCAAAGCAGTTGCCATGAAAATATTTGTAGAAAAGACAGAGGGAAGCCACATTACTTCGGTGAAAAGCTTGCTAAAATTGAGACGCCGGGTTAGGACCCATCCCATTGCATAATGTGAAAACACACACACACACACACACACACACACACACACACACACACACACACACACGTCTGTGTGTGTGTGTGTGTGTGTGTGTGTAAAAATATATAGAAAATAGGAAAGAACTCGTTAGGTAAATAATCCAAAGTTCTTTAGTATCTTTTATTATTTTTAAAAATAGTACTCGATACAAAAAGTAGAGCATAAATATAATTATTTATTTAAAAATATGATTCCAACGCTATAAGAGTTCTCATGTTTCAAAACAAGATAATTCAGTTTAATTCAAATAATTATATTGAAGTTTTCGGCTCTTGTTTTGAAACATGAGAACTCTTCGTTGGAATCATATTTTAAATAAATAATTATATATATATATATATATATATATATATATATATATATATATATATTCCTCTACCATTTTTTAATTTACATTCTTCCAGGATAGATTAACCCCACCTCATTATTTACTCACCCCTACATTCAATTATTATTATTATTATTGTTGATATATGATAATATTATTAATAATATATTTTTCTCTCTGCCTTACATATATCTCGTTAGTGACAAAAATATTAATTATTATAATATCAATTTTTCCTACTTCTAATATTTAATATTCTTAATAATATTTTTAATATATCTTTTTAATTATTTTTTAAAATATTAATTGTCCTTACCACTCCCTTACATTCCAAATACTCCTGCTTTACTCTTACTCTTCAACCGTAATTTCTGTTGAGAATGTAAAAAATTATAAAAAAATAAAACAAAGCAGTCGGAGATCACTATTATGCTTCACTGCCTGAAGAGACCTCACCAGTGAAAACCATGGTAGCGTGAGTGGTTAATATTTCTTGAATTTGATATATATATATATATATATATATATATATATATATATATATATATATATATATATATATATATATATATATATATACTATTAAAACATTACTTTCAAGTACGAATTGAGTTCACCAAGCTGGAGTATTTCGTATAGAAAAAAAGTTAAAATTACCTTTCTTACTGCCGTGCGAAGATGGCCTAGGGGCAAGCTGTCTGACTAATGTCAAATCAGTCGGGTTTCCATCCCGGCTTGAGGCAATAGGACGTCTATCCAAACTGAGGAGTTGTGACACTGCGAAACAGTCTGTTGATAAGTCTCTCTCTCTCTCTCTGTGTATGCATTTCTAAAGATTTAATGGAGATATCTTTAATCTGTAATTTTCATTACTTCAAACAATTCTATTGTGGATACTTCGCTTTTGAAATAGATGTAACATTTTAATTATCTCTAATTTATTTTCTGATTTGTCATATGATATTTTTACTCTATAATATTCGATATTTTTTATTGATAATCACCATTGTATTATGCTCCTTGACAGTAAATATATTTAAATTAAAAAAATAACTATTTTCTTAAGGTTAGGCTGCTGACGTGTCTTATGATACACCAACTTTTGCTGACAGGTCCTCGGCTCGATAAAGAAATGTTTTCAAAAAAATTCTATGTTTGATCATTGGGTTAGATTTAGTGATGTGGGTCAGGCCGATAATCTTTCAGCACCCCTCCGTACACTCACAGATATGCGATTGTCTAGTACGCTGTTAAAATGATTGTGCATATTCAGGTGTATTTATATCCACAACATGAATGTGCACGTGTTTACGCTTGTGATTACTTCATTTTATTTTTACGTAATAGCGTTTCCGGTTTCCGGTCACTCGAACTGCTATCAAGTACGGGTCGTGGGATATGTTAGGATGAGCCGTGCCATCACTTACAATGCACGCGTGTTTTAGCACAGTGAAAGGTGGAATTTATGGACAGCTATGTCGATGGATGGTGAACTCCTTTCTGCTACGCTGATGTAAAAGGGTCAACTCGAAAAGGCCAAGAAAAGAGACAAACTTCGATTGTTGAAACGAGTTCTGATATCTTATAACATTGATGGATGTATAGCGTTCTCTGACGATGACTATTCCGTACCAGTAGCACAGAAAGATAACGCAAACCTGTCAACATCTCTTTTTAGTTTATTTTTTTTCATTTTTCCTGTTTACTTACTTGTGCTAGCTGTATTATTTTTTTTACATAGGCTGTTGATGCATCATCAACCCTCTTAACGCCGAGTAAAACGTATAAGGTAAAGTTCAAATGGATATGTTGTGTCAGCCAAGAAATGAAAGAACATGGACGGTCTGAGATCACTAGAAAAGTTAATATCTTCAGCTATCCATCTTAAGAAAGATGTGACCAAATTAGCTAGAGTGATAGAAAAGAAGAAGGTTAGTATACGAGAGAGAGAGAGAGAGAGAGAGAGAGAGAGAGAGAGAGAGAGAAAGAAGTAGTGAAAGAGAGATGAGTAGTGAAAGAGGTAGAGGAATAGGTGAATATATAAAGACAGCTTTAAGATAAATATATCGGAACAAAGGGAAGAACAGAGCCATGGTGAGAGAATGGTTGAATTATGAAGAAAAACATGAACTGAGTTGTACAGACAGGAAATAAAAGAGAAATGTAAAAACAAGCGATACGATAATAAAAAAAAAACGAAGACATGCAGGCAAAATGCATCTGAAAAAAAAAAGATAGAATAAAGAAATAAGCTTTTATAAGTTATGGCCTGATGGAAACATATAACAACATAACAAGAAAAATGAAAGTAAACTTGCGGAGGAGTGACACGGATGAAGCGCTTGAGCCAAAAAGGGTTACAAGGGAAAAGATGGAGCAAGGGAAGGCTACAATTTGTAAAAATTAATGACGTTTTTAAAAGAGATAATCCAAAGCCCTGTCCGTCTCCCCTTGCGTGTGTGAGAGATGCGCGCCGGCAATAACTAATACAAGCAGACGCCGGAAAGATAAAGTAAAACAAAATATCATATATACATTATAGTAAAAAAAAAAAAAAACCCAAAAAACAAAGGAAATAAAATGATAGTTATGAAGGTGATAACGAGGACCAAATAAATACTTTTGTTATTCAAAACATTTTCCTCCACACATAAAATACATAGAATTTGAATGAGTGGATTCTGTGTCTTATCAACACGTTTTTCGGACCACCCAATGTTAATAATTGTCCACCTTGATATCCAAGCGAAAACATAAACATTAGTTGGGGGTTATACTTTTGTCAAACAATAAACGTTAATCGGAATTATATATATATATATATATATATATATATATATATATATATATATATATATATATATATATATATATATGTGTGTGTGTGTATATTATAAATATTATTATACACAACAGCATATATATATATATATATATATATATATATATATATATATATATATATATATATATAAAGAATATCTGTGGTGAAATTGGAATCAGCGAGATGATTTCAAATCCCAGGCTTGTCTATTGCGTTAACGTTTGCCCAATTGAGAATTCTATACTCAATTCTATCAGATTGGGATTCACTAACAGAATAGCCTGGGTTGTCAGTTTGGATGGAAACCTGTATGAGACAATGAAAACTCTGGATTAGTACCAGAAAAGTACGTATCCCGGAGGAAAGAAATGGTACTTTGTAAAATAGTCACCTAGTCACTCGAAAATGGCTTCTGCCGCGCTCATATTCACAGGAAAACTATTGAGTCAATAACAGAGCTAGACAAAGAAGTCCAAAACAAAGAAGACAGTTTAAGGGAAGTGTTTGCAAAACATGATTTCATTTTCAGGAGGAATCTGAACATTTCAAAATTGTTGGCTGATTAGAAATCATTTAAGATCGGCAGATGCGTAAAAAACTTTTGATTTTAACGACCTCGTTACCGAATTATAAAATCACAAGGTATATACTATGTCTCTCCACTAAGACGAGTTTTGACAAATGGTCAGTTTTTAAGGTGGGGGACCCGAGCTCGTACACCAGGGTTAGGAAATTGCCAGTAGCCCCCTCTGGCCTATGTGCGAGCACCAATCTTTCTCTCGGGTGCAATGAGATAGATCAGGGAATTTCGAACTGAAACATTTATCTAATTTACCATAGTAGATTGTCATTGTTCTGCTGTACATTTCTAGGGATATTACGATCTGTTATTTTCATACTGTTCAGTTATTACTCCGTTTATTTCCACTGAGACTGATTTTACCAACAGGCCTAGGATCGTACGCATATTTACTCTGTCACCAAGCAAGACACTAAAGCCGCTAAGACACAGATAAACCCTTCACACAACGGTTAACGACGAGAGTTTGTATGAAACGCGATTTTTCTAAAATCGGTATCACCCCATGCAAGATAGTTATGCAAGACAGTTATGCAACGAAGACACAAGGAGTTACTGAGTGTGGAAGAATTAGAATTAAAAAAAAAAACTTTATTAAGGAGAGAGAACAAAAATGGTCATCAGGAGAACAGAAGATAGCGATTGACATTACGTTTAAATTTCTGAAAATTGAAGTTGGCTGGAAAGCATGAAGACGGAAGGGAATTCCACGTGCGTGAAGTGCGATAAAATAAACTGTTACCATAAAATATACGATCATATCTACCCAATTCGACAATAGATTGATGAGATCTAGCCACTAAACTAGTAATGTCTTATATTCAAAATGTCTAGCTAAAATAATGATTGCTCGTCCGAACAATTGTCATGTAAGTATTTATAGAAAAGGCACAGGGATTCTACCTTACAACAGTAGAAAATTGAGTGAAGCTGAGATGACATATTGGGACCAATAATATTGCTGATTCTTCTTTTGATTTTATCAAGGAACTCTATAACAATTATAGGAGCACCGGACCATATGTAGCAGAACCATTGCATAAGTCAAAGAGGCTATTGTCTCAGAGAACAGTAATGAAAATAGATGTTCGAAATCTACAGAAGTTTTATCCGTATCAATAAACAACTGAACAAAGCCAGAAAGCACAATGGACGAAACCTTGCGATAAGAAGAATGAGGAGATTAGTACGAAAATTCATAATTTACATAAATAAATATTTTTTTTTTTGCATTAAATAGTGACTTTTATATCATTAAGTTATGGTCTTAATGATACGCATACTAAAACTGTGGAAAAATATTTTTACCAGGATGTACATTGGAAAACCTATAAGCATACATTTAAATGAATGACAGATAGGAAATATAAACTCTATATTTACTTATGTATCGATAGTGTCAAAAACACTGAGTGTTGTCAGATTGGAATTGGAAGTTGCGACAGACTCTCGAAACAGTGGGTTCCTTTCTGTTTTGAAAAACAATGTTCGAAAGACGAGATTTCCAACTGAGACAGAACACCGACTGCAGACTTTTAGGGCAAATATCTTTCACTTTCGAAGCCCGTATAGGAAGATAGTTCAAGACACAGACGCAGAAAAAAAATAAAAGAGTAAGAGAAAGAAAACAAAAGATGTCCATATGAAGAAACAGGTAAATAATCGAAGGTCGAAAAGAATCCTGAAAATATCTTCGTACTTGTTTGATAAAAAGCGAAGATTGAGTGGAAAACAGAAAGAAAAATTTCAGACAATAATATATATATATATATATATATATATATATATATATATATATATATATATGTTATGTGTGTGTGTGTGTGTGTGTGTGTGTGTGTGTGTGTGTGTGTGTGGAAGTATATAGAAAATAGGAAGGAACTGGTTAGGTAAATAATCCAAAGTTCCTTAGTATTTTAGTTATTATTTTTAAAAAATAGTGCTCGATACAAAAGTAGAGCATAAATATAATTATTTATTTAAAATATGATTCCAACTCGCCAGTTGGAATCAAATTTTTAAATAAATAATATATATATATATATATATATATATATATATATATATATATATATATATATGTCATTAAGGCTATTCGAGAAGAAAAGGGATGCAGTTGTTTCTACTCGTTTATGTTTAATGAGTGTCAAATATGAAGCTTTTCACATTTCGTATAACAGTTGCAGTCAAACAAATTTTAGCATTCTGCCAGAATATATTTTGCATTCAATTTTACACCAAATCCAGGAAACCAGTTGCAGAGAATTGTGGTGTACCGTCGACTTTCGAATGCAGAAGCTTGCGACCTCGCAGCTGAATCCGGTTTTGCCAGTGTGGAGTGATAGACAGGGGGTGGGTGGCATTCTCTGAGGTATTGCAACCGAGAATGTACGGTCCAAGTATTAAGTCAACTGATCTGTTGCACCTCATCTACGTTCACTGGTCCGAACTTGCTTTTATGTTTCTTTGTGAACTTTTTGCCATATTACTGTTGCTTTGTCTTATTGTCGTTCATTTGTCTTGCATATATTGTGTGCTTGTTTTATATTATTTTTACCCTGTTTTTCTTTTCTTTCTTTTTTTTTGTTATTGCAGACTTTGACAATACTCTTTGACGAACATTGTTTTTATTATTTATTTTGCATTCGACTATGTTTACCCACACCAGAATAGCTGTAAATTTTAATTTTTAGTACATATAGTTGTATAACCTGACAACCCTAACCAGTGAAATTAATTGAAATCAGTCTGGAGATCGAGAAGTCTTTACAAATGAAAAATATTTGGACATCGAAAATATAGTCCCTTGTTTCTTGATTAAAAAACCCTACTTTTACTGTAGCGTGGCCCTAACAATTAAGCCAAGGGAACCATTATTATAAAGGGTGTCTCATTTATTTATTTAACAAACACACTGAAACAATTCATAGTCTATATCAGCTACCATTATTTTACCCGCATCTTTAGCGATGGATTGGAAATAAGAGACCCACTTGAGATCGGGTGTTAGTTTAAAGCCCAATATTCTCTCAAGGCAAGGTTCCTGTTCGAGGGGACACCCTTCCATCGTGACTGGCGGTAGTTCGGGGTCTGATCGGCAGTGATGGAATATAAGTACTTTGGCTTTCGAAGCATTGAATGTTACTTCCATGGAAAGTGCTAGGATGAACTACATTCTTTGATTCCTCCAGGTCTAAACTTTATGGCAAAAACCCACCTTTCAACTTACATATTAGCAATCCACCCACATTTCATCCGTATACGATCGGCGAGAAATAAGTTTCACTCAAACATCTTTTTTCTGAGAACCATTGTCCTGTGGAATTGGCTCCCAAGAGGATGTTTCCCTTATCACTACAATATTAACCTGTTCAAGTCGAGAGTTAACCGTTATTTCTCCTTCCTTTCCATATAAACTCCTACTTAACTTAACTCTCTAACTTGATTGACCTCGTAACTTATACAGGCCGCCCTAAGACTATAAACTACATTCGCGTCCTGGGTAAGACGATAAACTACATCCGACAGCAAGACCTCTGATCAGGATGTTTTGAGGAGCGTGGAACCACCTCTTAATTGCTGATGTTTCCAGGTCCACTCTGACCCAGGGTGATAGCGCCTGTTAGGGTCCCAGCTATGGGAAAATAGTTACCCCCAGACAGCTGTGAAAACAACATTAAAGTGTAAAAAGAGGTTTTAATACCATCAATACTTTTTTGTAAAAAAATATTACCAGCAATGAATTTTTGAAAGAAAAAACTATTAACAGCAATACATTTTTGAAAAGAAATATTACGAACAATGTATTTTTGAAAGAAAAAAAATTACCAGTAATACACTTTTGAAGAAAAAAAACACATTTTCAACAATAAAAATCTTGACATCAAATAACACATTGACGATGATATGCCGTAAATCAAAGCAAAGCAAACTTTGTACAGGGTGAAGGTTAGAGTAAAAAAAAAACAAGAATAAAAAAAAAA